TGTTATCTGAGGAACAGAAGTGTTTGCAATGCACATTTACATGGTATTAGAATATTGACAAGCCACCTCTTCTGTGCATTCAGTCAAATGACTTGAACACTGATGATAATCATGTTATCAAAAATATATATATACATTTTGCATAAAATGGCTTGAGATGCTTTAGGCTGAAAGAAACAATATAAATATCACATGTAATATTATTACCTTCGCTATTTTCTTCTGACAGACCCAAAATTGAGAAATAGCCTTAGAAATTACAGACATATGTAAATAAGCTATACATGTGTCTTAGAGTGAAGTCCTATACCTATTTTGCACAGCAGCTGATTAACAATTTTGAGGATGCTAATCTTATGCAGATAAAACTGTGTTTCATATATACACATGCACATATATATATATATATATATGTATATAAAAGACTGGTGGGTGTATTGATAAGGGAGATGACCCTGCGTGTGCAGGGGGTTGGACTAGATGACCTCTAGAGGTCCCTTCCAACCTTAAACGTTCTATGATTCTATGATTCTATGATAGTTGCCCAGGAGCTAGAGATCCTAATACTCATGTGAGCTGCATCACAACTGTTCTCTATACTCATGAACAATTCCTCATAGTTATCTAGGTCTGTCAGACTGAGGAAAAGGGAAAAAAAGAGATGTTTCATTCCCTGTAGTGGGACTCAGAATTGGGCAAAGAAGCTTGGTCTCCTATACTACTTTTGGAAACACAGGATAATGCCTAATTTAAAATGAAGTTTGCACTGTACCTTGGTGAGAAGGGTTTAGACTACAAATAGAGAAATGGAACAGATTATGATTTTGTACCAAGAGCACACATTGCAGCTAGAGCTACTATTTTCAATTTCTTCTCTATGAATAAATAGATCCTACATCCAAAAAAAAAAAAACAAAAAAAAACAAAAACCAAAACAAACAAAAACCCAGTAAAAAATAGAACAGGTAAGACCAGTTTGTTGGAAGAGGTTTCCTTGTGAGGAAATCTATTGTTTCTGAAAGGTGCTATTAAGCCTTTAATTTCAAATAGGCAACCAAAAATGACAGAACGGACAAGTTCATAGCTCCATTGCCATGATACAAATTCTATAAACATTTCTATAAATAGATACATATATGTATATATTCACACACACATCTATCTACACATTTTTTCTTGCTCAACATTTTCTTTAGCTTATGAATACTGTATTTCCTCTCTGAAGCCTCTCTTGTGCAGGATTTGGAATGCACTGTAAATTCCTTCCTTGGCTGATTCAATGGATAGTGGATACTTCTGCCAGACTTGTAGTATCTAATTACAAAGCCAAGGGGTGCTTTATTTCAGTAGAACACCGAGATGTTGAAAGACGATATTCTGAGACAGAGAAGGGCATATCAGCTATTGATTTAGGTCAAAGAAGCAATTCACTACCACATTAGTTCTTTTGTTTTAAGTTTGTTCTCTCTTTTTGGTTATTTTATTCTGTTCGTCCCTTTCTTGGTACCGTGCAACCCTCCTTTTTGTTCTCATCTGCTTATTTTCCTTTAAGTAAAAAGCCTTTCTTATGTCTCTTTTTCTTTATCACTTACTTCATCTGTTCTTGATGCACATATCTAGCCTCATAGGATGATGAAATTGGCACAAGAAATGCTCTATTGATACATTTAGATGGATGCAGGTGGGGTGGCAGAGGGACAGGATTCTGCCGTTGTCCCCCAAGACCCTGGTCTAGCGCTGCCAAACATGTCTCTGCTCCCAAAGCGTGACTGCTCCTTCTTCAGTCAGTGAAGAAACAGTCAGGTCCAAGACATGAAAGGTCTTTTGGTTTTCTCATCCTCAACTTAAACAAGAACAAACAAGCACAACGATTACTTTTCTCCCTGGATTAAAAAAAAAAAAAAAAAAAAGTAAAAAATAGAGCTGGTAGTTTAGGCAATAAAAAAAATACTTTGGGACCCTCTTTGTGGATTGTGCTGTTACGCTATGAGCTGTGATTGATGTACAGGATTATTACAAAATTAGCTTTATTTGTCTCTGAAATAACAAATCCATTCCTTGACACAGACTCATGGGTCATGTGTATAGACCTGCTTAGACCAACACAGGACCTACTGAATCTGGCACAAAAGTTGCCACCTCAGACCAAATCAGCTTCAGGATTTTCAGTTAGCTTCAGATTTCAATAAGAAGCAAGCTTACAGGAAGTTTGAGAAAGTTGTCAATATAAGTTGCTCCGAATCTTTTGGTTTGTTGTTCTAACTTCCAAAATTTTGTCATGCCTATTGATCACAAATTTCCTTCTTTTTTACTTCAGCTCAAATTTTATGTGCATTTATGAGTAATGTAAGGATGATTCAAATTGAAAGTTTGTTACACTTAGCTATGAAAGTTCATTTTCTAAAATGCCATTCATTTGTTTACACTGCTTCTAATTTATTAGAGTTTTTCTACAGTTCCAACCTGGTAAGGAAAAGTATGATGACATGTGTTATAACACAGTCCTGTTGAATTACTTCAAGAGTATAATCTAATCACTAAAGATGAAAAGCTACCAAATTGGATAACAAAATAGGAATTAGTGTAAATTCTCATTAGAAAAAAGCATGTAAATATCTCTACTTGTCTTCACTGCTTTTAGTTACCAGTATGGTTCAGGCCAGATAACAGGATGGATTTTCTCTGGTATGATAAAGTCCTGCCAAAGACAAGAAGTGTATGTGTTTGTAGCACATAAAAATTGATATTTACTAAAATTTCATTAAAAAATTATTTAGCCAATGCCCTTGATACTTCTTTGCAGGGGAAATAAGGACTTTTTTTTCACTGTCAGATTAGGAAAAATAAAGGAATAACATAAAAGGGACTCTGGGTACATGCCTCCCACTTGATATCTTTCCAGATCACTTTACAACTTTCCATTTTTTCCATGTCTTCAACAGCTTATTTGTATTCTGTAGAGACACCGCAGTCCTGATGCTTCCTGAGATAATGACTGTCTGTATCTACCCAGCCAGCCCCTACTGTCTGGGAACAAAGGGCACAGAGATTATATCTATAAAGAAACAAGAATTTTCTACCTATTGTATGATTTTTCAATTCTAGATGTATTTTCACTCCAAAGCTGAGAAAACAATAAGCATTTGAAATTATCTTTGAGTTAGTGTTTTCTTAGGAGCTCTTTGTTTTTTTCCTCTGTGAAATGGGTGAATTTCTCTTCTTCTCATGTAACTCATAGTAACCACACTTCCATGAATGGTTACTATAATATTTGGCAGTATGTATGTAGAGTACTTGTCTTTTAAGTAAAGGACAAGCTAATCCTTTCACATTTGGAATGTGTGAATAGTATGTTGGGGAAGAGTCAATTGCTGCAGTAGAGGTATAACAGATTTTAAGTCTAGAAAATGGGGGACAGAGAAGTACCTTACTATTTATAACATTTTTTTTCCCTAAAATAGAAGCCCTCAAATCTGTTCAAAGAAAATAAATACTAACCCCTTTGCCACATGCTGTTTTTGGAGCATGGGAGGTGGCAAACTGATAAATTCCATATGCTAGCAATTATACTTTTGGTGATCTCTAAAACTGGAATGTTTTTCCTGAGAACTTTTCTTTTACTTCTAAGAGCTTTTCTGAATAAAATATGGTTTCTTCTATGACTCTTTTTGTTGCATTTACTTAGATAAATCATGATTTCAATATATAGAAACATATGCAGTGCTGTGTATCCAATTTTACAATGTTGTCTTTACAACAATAATTGTTGTTAATTTTCACAGATTGCTACAGTGTATTATATGTAGTTTTGCTTGTTTGTTTCTGCCTTACGGTTTTATTCCTGGAATATTACTGACATAATGAAATTTCATTTGCTGAATGCAATGGGTAATTCAAAAGTCTTAGAAATGTCCTTAAAACCCCTAGATTTTTAGCTGTTTATTTGAACATAATAATTTGGTTAGAACGATGATTCTCAGACTTTAAAAAAATTTTCCCCTCTCTCTTGCAAAAACTAATCTTGGTTAGTTTTCCATCTTGGTCCTTTTCTTCATCCTAGAGATGAGAATGAGGTATAAAACTTAACCTATGAAGAAGAGGAGTAAAAATTCAAACGTGAATTGTAGTATGAAACTTATTACAGTCAATAGAATTGCCTCCAATAACTGTAATTGGCTTGGAATTGGGTATTTAACACACTCAAAATGTACTTTTAAAACATTTATTGGATGTTAGAATAATTTGACCTGGATCTCTGCTGAAAATTATGGGAATGCCTCTCCACTCTGCAACCAGAATCTAATTCAGCATCAGAATCTAATTCAGCATAGGGAGAGATCTAAAATATTGTGAGTTATTGTAGTTTCATTGGTACAACGGAGCTGAGCATAGGCAGTTAGCTACTATTCTGGTAAGTCATGTGAAATCAAAATGTCCCAGGATGTAGGAATCAGTTCTTTGTTATGTTGAGAAAAAAAATAAACATAAGTCACTATTTTTACAAGATCAGACATCTCAAAAAACAGAGTGGACATAAGAGTTCTATGTTCAAATCACTTCTGCTGTTTTGAAGAGCTTCTGCTTTTGTCAAGGGAAAGGGGATTAAGCCAAATTATTGGATCTCACATTTTCGGGTAAGTGGGGTGAATTTGTTTAAAGGCACTTCTGGAAGCTCAGCTGAAGGGTGATGACTTATCCACATGCCAAAGTTCAAAAGGATCTAAAATATCCATTACTTGGAAATGTTGAGAATCTCCAAAGCTTTCTAAAAATGTGAACATGCACCTTACTGAGATAAACAATTTACCTTAAGTTAGTGATTACAAGAAGTTCCTCCCCCTGCATATTTAAGTTGGAGAAAATTTGAGAAAAAAAAATAGTGTGTTGTCTTGCTTAAGTAATTGTGCAGTACTGGGATGCCGTTAAGGCAGCCATAAAAACAGATGAGCTGTTAACACCTTATATGTTGCAATAGAAACTAAACCAATTTTGTTTTCCAGGTATCAACAGTGCTAGAATTTGGCCGCATAGTGATTTATACTACCAGCCTTCGTGTGGTGAGAACCACTTTTGAACGGTGTGAACTGGTTAGGAAGATCTTTCAAAATCACAGAGTCAAATTTGAAGAAAAAAACATTGCTCTGAACAGTGATTATGGAAAAGAACTAGACGAAAGATGCAGGAGAGTATGTGAAGTTCCCTCTCTCCCTGTGGTGTTTATTGATGGCCATTATCTTGGGGTAAGTAAATAACAAGCAAACATATTCTATAGTCTGTAAGAAAATGTCTATGAAAGAGATGAAAATGTCTATGAAAGAGAAGCAAGCTTTAAGAGAATTGTTGGCAATGATGGATTGATGAGAAGAATCAGAGATCCTTTTGTGGTTGGTGCTGCCCAGGTCCACACTGACACATATGATCCAAAGACAAAACAAAAGACAACCTGAGAGAAGGCTATTGGAGGGAGTTGAGAAGCAGAAATACAGGCTAAGCTATCCTGTGTTTCTTAAAAAAAATAGTTTATCTTTGTAGTTCAAGCCATGAAATTCTAGATAAATTGATTTTTTTTCTTCATATGCATGAGAATCTTTATGTGTGATTGACTCAGGAATATGAATACAGCTAATGTACAACTGTCATTTAATAATGTCTGTGTTTGAATATCAAAGTGTCTAACAGCTTGGGTCTTGAGACTTTGATCATACATGGAATTTTATGTGATAGAGTCCATCCTAGGCATAAGTAATCAGCTGAAAATTGTTAAGTTAAGTAAGTGGTTAATACTTTTAGAAAAACCTACCCCTAAAAGAGAGAAAAGCAACATAACCCAGCTCTGTTGTGAGACATAAACTCCAAGTGCAAAATCGTAAACCAGATTTGAATCCTGGTAAAAGTCAACTGATATTTGAGACCATCTTTTAAATACTCCCAGTTTGCACTGTAGGAACTTATTTCTAAGAAACTGAATAATCAGAGTTTAAAAGAAAAAGACTCTGAAAAATAACACAAGCAAAATCACTTGAGCGCTCATAAAGGTATTTATTATATGTCTCAGTTGATAAAGAACTTGTAATTAGCACCAACGTCGAGACTGTGATTTGTGAAGGCAAACTATATTTAAACTCAGCAGGGTTATTTGGTTTGTGTTGCTTAACAATTCTTTTTTAATTGCAGATTTAAACAATCAAATGGGTTGTAATCAACAAACAGCACATAATTGATATTGGGCCTGCACAAACACCGACCTTCTCCCTCTTTTTCCCTTCCCAGCATTCAAATCTTGTTGTGCTCTACCTGAGGCAGTTTTCAAACAAGCTTCCCAGCAGCTATGCTTACCAGAGTAGCAACAGCCACAAATATCATAGAGAATATTTGCAGTGAATTTTAATTCATACTAGAGAGTGTTTTTATCAAAAACCTGAGTCAGAGAATTATCTAGCCAGTCAGTAGCAGAAATATATTTCACTTGAAAGCAGCTTAAAACTCAACAAGTTTCAAACTAATGGTTGCTGACCTAATTCTTGACCAAGTTCAAGAAAATCTCAGTCTTTAAGTGATCAATTTGTCAGAGGAAACCAGGTAAAATGTTGAAAGATATTAAATAAATTATTTGCTCAGCTCTAGCTGAAGCCTGACTGCAGTGATTTTGGTATGATAGATAGCTCATTAATTCACCGCCTCTCTACTTTTTAAAAGCTCATGTGAAACTTATCTCTTGACAGAGGAGCAATAGTGTAACAAGAAACAAAGTCTTATTAAAGCCATTTCCGTATTATATGCAATATTTGGAAGATGTATAGAAATGAAAAAAAGTGAGTGAATTAGGAAGCCAGTTGCCTGTTGGAGAGACAAATCCATCTGTCAAAATACCTAGGTAAAAATACAGGTTAAAAATATGAAGAAAGAATTGGTAATGTAATAGAATGTTCTGGTTTACAGACATTTTTTACACCATGGAAAGTCTACTTTTTTAATCCAAGAAAAAAAAAAGCTTTTTTTTTTCCTGTCAAAAGAAGGACAATATCAAGCTCCGGTGTGGAAGTAGGGAGGTGGGAGAGAGTTGTTTTGATTAAATTGATGACGCACGATGTGGTTAAGTAGAGGAAACTTTGGCCCCTGTGTGAGATGGAAGTTATTCCACAGTGTCGTTTGTACAGTAACCGGCCTGTGGGCAGGTAGCAGTTCAGGAGGGGCCTGCTCTGCTCACGGGGACCCTGTGGACAGCGGGGACGGCGGCACCCTCTGCTCGTTGCCTACGGGTGCTCCTCGCCTGTGCTCACAGCCAGGCTGTTTTCTGCCCCGCGTTGCTTTCTGCTAATTATCGTTATACGGAGGTCACTGCTGCTTTGCATCTGTTGCTATGGTGACTCATACGATCCCTGTGTACGTGCTTTAGCTGGGATGAGCCAGGACGGGAAAATTGTGTTTTAGAGGGGCTGAACACAGGCAGTGCTGTGGCTCTCCAGAGGGAGGTGGAAGGGAGAGGCCCATGCTGAGCTTTGCATTGCACCCGCAAGGGGCATGTGCCCACAGGCTCTGCTTGATAAATGAGGCAAAAAGTGGCATTTTACTGCAGTTTTTATTTTATTGGTTTAACAGGACTACCTAAGACAGACTGCCATTTGATCATTTAGGAAGTGAATCAAATCGGGGGGAGGGAGGGCACTTTGCATATCAAGAAGGTTACAAGTGTTTACCTAACCTTGGTGCAATCCCTCTCCAGATACCTCAGAGCCTCGAGGATGCGGTGCCTCAGAAAGGCCATGCATCCATGACCCAATGTGCATTAGGATGTCTGCGCCCCGCGCAGGGTTGTGTTTCCCTGGTGTGTTTCCTTGGGTGCAGATTACAGACTTCTCTTTCCGTAGCAGGGACCGTTTCTATAATGCCTTTAAATGGGCTGTCTTCCAGCATGCAAATGCAACATAGAAGTCCAGGATCCTGGGGTGTCAGTAAAGTAATCACCCCCTCCCCACATACACCTCTCTCCCTCTCTCCCTCTCTCGCTTTCTTTTAAATATTTATTTCCAAGCAAATACCTCCCTTACAGAAAGTGCAGGTAGCAGTACAAGAAAAAAAAAAAAAAAAAAAGGAAAAAAAAAACAATAAAAAACGAACATTTTTAAAAGGGGACAAGATTATTTTTAATGAGATAAATGTAGCAATAAAGCTCCAGAACACGAGGTGCATGCATCTGATAGCGTATACTTTATCTGATCCTTTCAGAAGCACTGGTGAGGTTGTTAGGGTAACGTATGTTGTGTGGATAAATCTTCACAGTTCTCTAGAATTTATCATTGGCCACGCAGGGGAAATTAAACTTGAGCAGAAGCAGCAGAAAAATTATAGTTACTTCCTGTCAAGTGCTTCACACTGCAATATTGTGTTTTTGCTTTTTTAAATCCATGTATATCTTTTTCTAGACTGAATCATTGTATTTCTTGAATACAGTGTCTAGAAAAGTCTGTTAGGAAATTCCAAGTTCTTTCTGCTGAGTGCTTTTTGCCAGCTGGTCTAATCCCCCTTTCTCACGTGAGGCTGTCTCATCTGAAATGGAATTATGCCATCTGCTGGGGCACTGGAGCAGGATAAAAAATGTTTTCCAGAGAAAAAGCAATACAGAAAAGAACAGAAGCATTCATTTACTCTTTTACAAAGGCAGTTATGATCATTAGAGACTTATGTTATGCGAAGTCCCACTCTGCTGGGAGATGGAGAAAGCATAAAAATGCAAAATAGAGTCATCCTTAGTATTCATGTCAGCTCTCTGAATAATATTTTAAAAATACATTTAATCTGCTTTATTTTTTCACTTTAAATATGTGGTTAAATTCCAGTATTCATCCGCTGTACAAAACTAATTGAATCATATTCAAATACAGAGATTTAATAATTTTTATTTCTTCTTTTTTCCCAAAGAAACAATTTCTTATTTAATTTTCCCGGCTCTAATGAATCTACAGTGGCATGAGATTTGCAGTAAAATATTTTGACTCGTTGGTTGTGGTTACTTCCTAAGAATGATGAGGCTATTTTTGTAACTGATATTTAGAAAATGCCCTTGTAACGTATTGTTCTGTTATGGATATTGTAATAGTTTCTTCTGTTGCTTCTTCCCAGGGACCATACAAGATCAGTTGCCCTCAAGTGCCTCCATATTTTGTTAGAGTTGTTGCATATTCTCCTGGCTTTCATTTGATGGGGTGGATATGAGCGGCCTTGTGGGTGATAAGACTGTGTAACTATTGCACGTACAAATCACTTTCCATTTTTTCTCACATTTTCTCCATTTTGCCGTTAGGCACGGCTTTAGCAAGCATTAGTGGTATGTTCTCTCACAAAGAAATCCTGTCTTTTAGATCTTTGCACATCAAACCTAATGTTTCTGGCCCTTGTACTGCAAAGCTTTCACACCATCCTCAGTTTATGGGAAGATTTCCAATCATTTAATCAAATTCCTGCCTGCTGCCAGGGGTCACATCATTGGGAAAGGCAGCGTTGCAAGCTGGGGAGTATGTGAGCTCCACACAAGGACAGAACTATCTGCGTCTGTTTCCTTGGTAAACCATAGTGAAAAAAAAGGTTTTCTTTTTTTTTGCCTGTATATAAGGAAAGAGTCAACAGGCTTTCTAATACAGCCAAACACAAGAGCATAGGTGTATCTCTTGATGAAAAATTACATCATGAAAATGGGAACTGGCTACATCTATGATTAGTGAATAGCAAACATGTTTAATGCTGTGAGAGCTTGGGCAATAGGGAACTTAGTGAACCTTGGATTTTATTTGTTAAAAAGAAGCTCAGAGAGGTGATTACAGCCCCTGGGTTCCTCCACAACAGTTGAGAACTATTTAAGTTAAAAGCTAAATGCTTAAAGGCTGGTGCCTGGAAGCTTTGCCTAGCTGATGCAAAGCTGACTTACTTGTGGACCTGCACATCTGGGGCACCATCTCCGTTGCTTCTCCTGGCAGCTGTACTGCCAGTAGAGCTCCTTATGCTAGTCTGAGGAGGGATGGACTCCTCAAGTGGTTTTCATCCCATTGGACTGAACACAATCTAAGAGTAAAAAGAAAGGCACCACTTTCTGGTCAGAAAGCATCTGTTGGACTTAAGTAACAGCTGCTTTCTGTAATAGCACTGTGAATTACACACACTGTGCATTACAGCTTGCAACTATTTTTACAATTATTTTACAATTACAACTATCCAAAGGATAGGTTAACCTCTGTAAAATACTTTGCATTAACTTTTCACTTGAGGCAGACACTAATTGTGAAAGACATATTGAAACACTTAAAAATACTGGAAGGTTTTTTTAAATTTAAATTATTTTAATTTATTTTTATTTTAAAGACATGGTAATGAGACTTCCCATTTTGGAAACAATAGAGCTAGGTGATAATGCTAATGTCATTTGAAATATAAATCCTTCAGAATCTGAATCTATAATAGAAAACCTGCCAGAATTTTAATTACAGTGCTGTAAAAGCCATTCAGCTTTATCATACAGTATCATTGTAACACGGAGCAGAAGTCACAGGAATGTTTTCTTTGCCAACTAGTACCACAGAGAGCAGATCCTTTCTTAAATGAAGGGAAACCAGGGCTTGTCCTGATTAAAGAATTTGCTATACTGTAATTACATCAGTGAAGCTGCAAATCCTCAGCGTCTCGACGTCGCACGGGCAGCACGAGCTTTGTCTTAATATGCCATAGCGTGTACAAGCCCTGAGCTAAACGCTCCGAGGTCCTCTTTGGCAAATCCTCCTGTTTGTTGTGCCAGTCACTGCTATTGTCTGTTTGGTGTGAAAATAGAGAGGGATTGGAGGGTAAATACAAAGAGGCTGAGGACACTAACTGCAGCTCTGCCGGGGCGCAGGGGTCGTACTGCGTGCGCACAAGCTGGTGCCTTCTGCGCCTGCTGACCAGAACTGCTCGGTGCAAGGCCTGACCCTCCCGTTTTCTTCTGTAACTAATTAGCCACTAATTAACCACTGCTAATTATTTTGTAGTTCTCCTTTGAAAGCCCTTTGAATGTGGCATAGTACTGCAAAAGTGCTACTCGCATCCACTGAAATATTAATATTTTGCTTTTAAAATGGTGCGCAATATGGTGATTATAAACTGCCTCTGAATAAGACACAATGAGCATGGTAAAGAAATCAGCAAAGGAGCCCTTTAGTGTACTGCTGAGCACTGAGTCGAAAGTCAACTTAGTAAACTCAGTAATACTTCGTATTCATCACATACAGTTACATAACTAGAATGTAAGATTGGCCCTCAATAATTAGAAGAAAAGAGAAAAAGGTTTTAGATCATCTTTGACACTTTCATTTTGTCTGCAATAATCTCTGAACATTTATTTTCAGAAGAAAAGAAGAAAAACTACTTCATTACCACCCTGGCTCATATCACAGAACCCCTCAGAGGCCTAATGTACTCAGACTAAATTATTATTATTCACTGTTGTGTCTGACTGTAATGTTGTTACAGTGTTTTCATTACCCTTATTCTCTTTCTGTTATACATTATGCATATTATGTCTTAATTCAATGTTGAATTGCCAGAATATTTGAAATACAATTTCCTCTCTCATTTTGCTCCATCCTTGGATGAATAAGAATAACTTTCGACATGGTAACTAGACATATTTTTTATTCTGTCAGAAAACATAGGCTGTAAAATAAAGTGTATGCAATCACAATTTCTAAGCTATGTCACCTGTTAAAAAAAGGAAATGCAAGATGGTTCTTGATAACTAACCTTGGATAGTTCTGTAAGAACTAGGTTTAGAATCTTCTCCCCTTCTAGCTTTCCTAGGATTGACCTAATTACCAAATACTTAATTTGAATCAAAATTGAATCAAATTTGTCCTCAGACTGCTTAGATTTTCAAGATCGTATCTTCTAATCATGTCTGCTGGGTTTTTTTTTGTTTGTTTGTGCTAAGGTGGCTGAACTTTTTCTTTCTCATACAATTAGGGTGCTGAGAAAATTTTGCTAATGAATGAATCTGGGGAACTGCAGGATCTCTTAACAAAGATTGAGGTAATTGTATTTCTGCACTTATATTCACTGTTTGGAATTGAAAACTTTATTTTAACCATTTCCTTTCCCTCTGTTTTCCCTCTGTTTTAACTGATCATCTGAAATGTTTTTTTAATTTTTCTTTTTGAATAATTGATTATATACTATCACAGTTCATTATGTTAAGGAAATGTTTATCTCTAAATCACTCCTAACCTAATTAAAATAGCATACAAACTTAAAAGTATGTAACTACTACATTAAAAATAGATAACATGGAGATGATACTTGTGAAGCAGACTGATGAAGGAATAAAAGAAAACTACATCTAACTGATTTAGCCCCAGGTTTAAATCTGTTTTCTCTGTCCCTGCATTCAGGCACCTGTAGCAGATGCCTTTAGGAATCCTTTGTATACCAGGCATTTTATGTCAGATCCATCCAAGAACATCTCTTTCTGTGAAGCATGTAGGTTTCTTGTTGCCATTCTCTTTTCTGGTGTGTTCCAGAAAAAGTTCCTAAAAGTTCCAGTCAGACTGAGCTCAAGGTTTATTCACCTACGTCTTATTCAGGAGGTTGGTTTGGTAACATGCAGTAAATTGTGGACTGCATCATCTTTTTGGAGATATAAATGTCCCTGTGCAGAGCAGGTTCTACCTTCTACATTTGTCTGGTCTGTTCCCTAACTCAGGAAAGTCTCCCCGGCCTCATGACTCAGTAGATATATTTCTGTATAAATTATAGAAGATCCTGCTATTTAATTTATAACCAGAAACAGTTAAACAAATTTATAAAGATGTTTAATGCATGCTGTATTACTGTTGCCTGACTAAGACCAGACAGGGTGGGTAGTAAACCTCCTTAACATTTTTAACTGGTTTGGAATGAATCACCCTCACATCTTATCTTTTAGGAGTCCTATAATATCAATACTTAAACCAACATCTGTCCTAATCTTGAGACAGAAAGTACTTCTAAAAACAACAAAAAAGGCCAGACTACAGCAAACTGTGACACTGGCTAACGGAATATCATCACTGCTCCAAACACATGCCATTGCTTGTTACTTTAATTTAAAAAATGATTTGCTACAAGAGGCAGTCATATTTTTTCATTATTGAAGATCCAGAGCATGGTTACACAAATTGCCATTTGCTTAAAAAGGAAAAAGTCGTTTTTTAGGGAACTAAATAGAATAACTTTGTTTTTGTTAGCTCTCTTAACTCCATATAAAGGTAGTTGTTTATATACTTAACCATCAATAATGAATTTAATGATTAAAAATATTATTCTCTTAAAATTTTGGAATTGATGTAAAGGATTTTCTGATACTCACAACCTACTGCATTTTTAGCTTGCTTGTCCCACATAAAAGAATTCTCACATGACCGATTTTTTTGATAGCTGTATATATTGAATAGTCTACTAGTCATGCTACCTCTTTTGCTTATGCATAAGCATAAGCTAATGGACTATAAACTATAATGGACTATGAACTATATAACTAGAAACTAACATAACTACAAACAATATATAAACTATATAACTATAAACTAATGAGCAAAAATAAAGCAGATGCTTTAGGCAGAAAAGCTTGTGCAAGTGTTTTGCAGTTATTCAGACCAAAAATTGCCATTTTAGAGGAATTTGCACTACTGCTGCTCTGCACCAGCCCAAACAATGATGTTGCATGAGTAGTATAGACAAGTGAGATAGTGGGGAGATACTTCTATATGACAGCAAAGATTTAAGAGCAGAAGGATTCTCCAGCATGGAAGCTGCAAGAAGATTCCTGCATCGCCCAACACAAAAGGTGCTTCAGCCTTCCCCTTCCCGTTCATCAGCATCATCAGCAATGTCTTTGGTTGTCCTCACTGGACCTTGCAACAGTGCACTAGCCCTGCTGGGGCATGCTGTATATTTTGGAGAAATCTGCATTTCCCTGTATGTCATACTCATTTGAAAATAAGTATTAATAGAACAAAGCTCTAAGTTTTATTATAATCTAGTAGTAATACTTTATTATTATTTTTTAATGATGCGTAATTCCTCAGAGTAACAGGAGTAAGGATTATATGGATTGCTTTTCTTCCTTTGTAAATAAATCTATAAAGTCTTTACTCAACAATAAAGACACATATCTGTGCTGTGCTAAGTACCTAATGGGTTTTACCTTTAATTTCTCTGACACAGAACTTTAAGGCAATCATTAAATAAACTGGTGGGATTTTTAGCAGTTGAACCTTTAAATGCCTTTGCAATCTCTTCATTTATTCTCTATTATTTTTAATTCATACAATACAAAATAAAATTATTATTTTACTCGGACTTAGGACAATTAAGGAAGATCAAACCTTGCTTGCAGCAATTTTATCCCAATGTAATGGTTGAATATTGATGATCTCTCTTTTTCAGTTAAAGTTTCACTACACCCAATTTGAATACGCTACTTTTTTTTTTTTTCCTCAAGCACTCCTTGTCAGTAGTTACGAATTGCTCTTTTGATCAGCTCTAGTAGGAATAACATGTAATTCAGCATGAGCATACCTACTATAAAAGTCATTATATTTCAATGTATACCAGAGAAAACATAATGTCAACATAAACTGCCTGGAGTTTAGAACTGATCACTTAAAATAACTAGAAGAGTTGATCTAGACCTAAGATGACATTAGAGTAATGTATACAGGTTCTTAGCTAGCTATTTTGGAAATGATGAACCCAGGCTGCTGAGATATACTGTGCTAGATGAATGAACCAGCAGTGACCATTGCATGTTTGTGTGAAAAGACAAATTTAGTGGTGTTGCACAGTGCTAGACTTTGGGATGAGGTGGTGGATATTTCTCTTAATAGTTCACAAAATGTGTATTTTCAGTTGTCCTGAAGTCCTCACTGTCCTGGAGCTTATGGTGCTTGATGAAGTAACATCTCTGTCTTTCTTACTTTGTTCTTTGAGCAGAGAGTCCAACACCCCCATGAGTGCCCCTCCTGCGGGGGCTTTCGTTTCCTTCCGTGCTCTGTGTGCCATGGGAGCAAGATGTCCGTGTTTCGGAACTGTTTTACGGACTCATTCAAGGCCCTCAAGTGCACCGCTTGCAATGAGAACGGCTTGCAGCGCTGCAGGAGCTGTGCAGGCTAAGAACGGCGTCTCCACACGCGCAGCCTCATTTTATGGTACTGCAGCAGTTTGTAATATGGTTTTTTTTTTAATAATCTGTTTAAACAATTCAGTCAATAAAAATCCATTTATAGTAAACTTGTGCTGGTTTATCATTGGAGCCATTGCTCTGAACTCTCTGAACTTCTTTACACAGAAGATTTGTTGTTTATAAAAATTATCTTCATTAGCCTTTTGAATGTGAAGTCTTGACTTTTTCTAGAGAGGATCATCAGCAATGGTATGTGTTTCCACTCACAGAGTCCTGAGTAATGTAAGATTACAGCAAACTGAAACGTAACTATGAAATCTCCTGAACAGTTGCTGCTTGCCAGACCAGTGAAAATACAAATGTTATGACATGGACTAGCACAAATCCATTCCATTTAGCCTTTGACTGAAAAGTCTTGACAGCTAAGTTGTGGTCATAACTAGCACAAACCGAGTTTTAAGTAGCAACAGATGACCTAAATACTTCTTAAAAGCCTCATGAATCATCTTTCTCTTTCAGGACTGCTTTACTTTCAGTACTAAATTAATGTCATTAGAGAAAGTTACATGAATATCTAACATCGTAGATGTTCGTGACCGTTGTTATACTATCACAGAGCTGTATGATCCTGCATACTGCACTGGATACTACAGAGTTCGAGGGAGATTGCATGTTGGTTTATAAATTTCAGAGAAAGTCATTCAGGATGAGATTTCTGTTTTTTCAAATGAGTAACTGTAGTGGTTCCAGGGCTAGCCTGGCACAGGTGTTACAGAGCACTTGTTCCTTCCAGGACGGCCATTGACCTATGTTGTCACGGAACGAGTGGTGGTGGGGTTGAGTGACACAATGCACTTCACTCGAGTGAAAGAAATAGTAATAGGTTTTATTGATAATGGCAATGGTTTCACGAGATTCTATGGCAAGGTCACTTATTATTTACCACATGGAGGTTCAAGATATACACAGAATTATCAAGGACACCCTCCTGTTGAGTCATGGGGTTCGGATTGGACCCTCTTGCTTTCCAAACTCCTCCTGAGAGGAGGCTGGGTGTGGCTGGATCCAATGTCAGGCCTACAATTTATGACTAAGGAAATTTGTGCACAGTTGCGTTTACGAGTTCATAAAGAGAGAGTGCGCTATAGTCACTTACCACGAATCTGTAGTGGGAAGGATCTCTCAGCCCCGAGGACCATCCTTGAGAGGTGTCCGTGCTCAAGGGGAAATCCTGTCTTGTAGTCCACTGCGATGCAAGGAGAGCTCAATGGGCTCTTGGGCTGTCCCCATATTTATGTGATAAGATGATTTATTTATAGTCATTCTTTCATTTCAGATGACTTTTGGCTGGTGTATATGCACAATTAGCCTTATCTCCCCATCAGGATGGAGCCATCAGGACTGTTATTGATGGTTAATGTCTGAGTGGGGGAAGAAATCAGGGAGGCAGCTACTAGGATCAGATAATGTGGTAGTTAACAGCTGAATAGGGCTAAGTGTGAGAAGTCAGGATGAGCTGGGGAAAGAGCACATCTGTCACATATGCCCATCTAGGCAGTCCCAGAAATTTATCATTTCTGGTGAATTTCCCCAACACAAACATAAGGGGATTAACCAGTAGTTAATCTGAATGCACCAACTTTGGGGTCTCCATAGAGGCTTCATTCTGGTTTGTAAGTGCATGCACTTCCACAGAGTGGAAGTTATTATTATTACATTAATACTGCATTGCTTCTTCTTACTGTTCCTGCTGTCCGTCTCTACTGGCACAGTCAATACAGAGGTCTAGTGCTCTGTTGTAGTTGACATTGGCTAGAAAAGACTTCCATGGTAGGCTTTTCATCCAGACCGAATTAGTTCAGCAAATCTTAAGTGTGCCTGGATAAAAAAGCCACTTTTATGTCTCTTAATGCCTTATTTCCCTTGCCTGAATCAATGTAAAGCAAAGTAAAACAACCTTTTCCCCATCTCTGCTCCACTTTCTATATTTATAAGTGCTAGGTGGTACTGAAGGATTGGAGAAATTGAACTAACTTATTTTCTTGAACATTTGAATCTAAAGGATTCATGCATATTCTATGAGTTATCTCAGGGGTTTAGCAGCCTTGAATGTGCTCTAAGCTCCTACAGTTCCTGCAGCACTTGAGACTCACACGGAGAGCCTGGACCTTTTGCATAACAAGCAAGAGTACCTTTTCTGCAGAGGCTAACCACAATGCCTAGCAGCACCCCAGCTATTACACTGGGAATTACATACGTGCTGAATGTTTTACTGAATAGGGAAAAGAAAATGCAGTTCCTGTCTTATATTTAATACCATCACGGAGACATATCCTGGCCAGAATTGACATCGAGACTGGTGCAACAGGGAACAAAATGAAAATACTGATGCTTAGAAACTAGGTGTCCCTAATGCATGAAAATTTACTTTTTTTTTTTAGCGAGTAATGGGCCCAATGGTGAGCACATTCACAGTAGTGAATGGTGCACTCAATATTGCATAAACAAGCTCACCCTTGTGGGAAATATTGAAGAAAATGCCAATTTATCTGTGGTACTGCAAACCCACGGTCTTCACCCCTGAGAAGACATTCTGCATCATGAAATCGTCATTAGCACTATTCTTCCACAGAAGCACCATATGGCCTAATTATTACAACTGCCCAAAATACGTTAAACTTTTTCAGAGAAACTGAAAGTCTTCATAGGTAGGGAATCAATTTTTGAAGCTTTTTTCCCACAGCCCAGACAACCTGCCCTTCTCACACCTGGCAAAATGTGCCTTGTCATGCACCTCACTCTGACATTCTTTTGAAAAATCCTTTCTAAGATCTTGTTTTTTCGGCTGTATATCAGTTGGTTGTTCGCTAACAGAGGATAACTTTGAGCAATTGGTTTATAAATCTAAGAAGCTTTACATTTTCTTGGTTGTTTTAAGGTCTTTGAGGACCCTCAGAGTCATACAGAAACCCTAAGTAAAGTTTCTGCCCTGAATAATTACTAGTGTCCATGCATGAAACCTAGGGGACTGTCCTAACCTAGGCACTAGTGGAGGCACTTCATGAGTGGATGAGGCAATAGCTCCTTAGTTTTCTTTTTGGAAGAAGAAATGATAAAACTAGAAGATCAAGCTTTGTTAATAACTTTCTTTCCAGAGAATTTTTAAAGGAGATTAGAGAATGTTAGTAAAACATGTAATGCTCAAAAAAGGGTGAGAAAACTACAATAGATTTCTGGTACTGGAAGAGTTCCTGTTTTTAATGCCATCAAGAAAATTACCAGCTCTTCCACAGCTCCTTGTAGCCTGCATAAAAATAAAAGTAGATAATAGCCTGTGCAGGAAGAGGCTATTTTTGCTATATGGCATACCATCCTTGCTAGAGTTTTGAGTTTGCTTCCTTAGCTCCCCAGCCTAGAAGCATCTTAGCATATGTGAGATGAGCAATGGAGAACAAGGCAAACCTTTTCCTGAATGCTTTGCAAAGCCTCCCTGACACTGAAACAGAAAATGGTTTGGAGTTCTCAGTCCTGCAGCTGCTAGCATGCACAGCTGTGGGCTACATATTCTCCATGCTGACATGTTACAGCCGTCAAGAGACCTTTGGCAAGTTTCAAGCCCCAGGCCATGACACAGCAACACTTGTTCTCTGATTTTCTATGAAATTACTTTTTAATTTTCTTTTATTTTTATGAGCTCTAGCTACTGATTATTTTCACGAAGATTTGACAATATAGTCTACGATGTCACAGTTGCAAATTTTCAGTGACTGAAAGCTGATTAGAAACTGCTTTTGAGTTTTTTCCCTGATGGCCTGAAGTTTGGCTTCAAGGATGTGTTGCAAGTTTTCCTCTACAAGTTCTGATTATATTACTTAATGAACTTTTTTTTTGGTTTCACTATCTTGGGGTAGTTTGCTTTTTTAACACATCAAGGGACATTCTTTTTCTGTAGGAGAAATCTAGACATCTTTTTAGTAAGAAATAATGCCTCTGGGAGTTGATTTCCATTCAGTTTATGATTATTTCCTTGGTGTACTATTTCTGAACATATATAAAAACAGAGATGGAATGTCTTACATGCCAACAGCCAAAAATAATAAATAAATTTAATAAAATATTTTATATTTATCTGGAATGAGGAGAGTTTCTGCAGGCAGCCTTGCATAGACTAGCTTGGCTTTTTCATACAGCTCCGTAACAGATGTAAAGTTTACTGACCAGTTCCTTATTCTAAAGTCTACTGCTGCCAGGAACAGCCCTCTCAACTCAGTGAGAATCACCCCAGTAATTTAAATGTTTTTTGATTGGGGTGAGCATATATTCCCTTTACTATCAAAGCACTGCGAAATATGAAGTTGCCCAAATAATTCTCTATACTCTGTGTGCTAAGTGACTTCTGAAAACAAGAATGTATTGAGTCCTTAACCTCTTTCAATACGCTTACTCAATCTGCGAGTCTATTTGCTGCTCCCTGGAACTCATAATCACAGGTGCATTCACACCTGGGGATCCTTTGCACTGCCCTTGATGCATGGAGGCTTTGTGTTAAACTGAGACAAAGAGGTCACAGCCTGCAGAATGTTCCAGCTGAGGCAGGAATAAAAGGAGATACAGTTTCTCAAACTCCTGATATACAGATAACCACAGTAGATGTGATGGTGGGTGCTCCACTCATGTGGCATGTGTGAGCTACATGTGAAATGGGCCTTGTGTTTGCTGGGACGTGGTGTTGATGTGATATTGCTCTTCCCACTTGACATTCAAGGGGCTCCTCACAGCTCTGGGAGCCTCTAGCGACGCGTGGGTGCCATGATCCGCTCTGACAGCACATGAGACTTGTCAACTGGACAGCAGCCAGTCACAGAATCAATTATTATGAATGAAAATTACCCATTACTATGAATGAGAAGAATACAATAGGTCTTAGAACATGAATAATTCTGCTGTAAGTAGACATGTACCTGAGGAAAACATACTATTTTTGATTTAA